CCTCCCCCTCCTCCACCTGCTCCTCATCCTCATCCTCCTCCTTCTCTGTCGTCCCCTTCTCCTCATCCTCCTCCTCCTCCGCCTCCTCCTCCTCCTCCTCCTCCTCCTCCTCCTCCTCCTCCTCCTCCTCATCATCATCATCATCATCATCATCATCATCATCATCAGCATCATCATCATCATCATCAGCATCATCCTCCTCGTCACCCTCCCCCTCCCCCTCCCGCATCCCCTTCCACGCACCCCGTCCACCCCATCCTCCTCCTCCTCCGCCTCCGCCTCCGCCTCCTCCGCATCCTCTTCATTTTCCTCCTCCGCCTCGGCATCATCCTCCTCGTTCTCCTCCTCATCCTCCTCCTCCTCCTCCCCCATACTCCTGTTCATGATCGTCCTCCTCCGCCTTCTCCTCCTCGTCCACCTTATCCTCCTCATCCTCCCCCTCATCCTCCTCCGCATCATCATCAGCATCATCATCATCATCATCATCATCATCATCATCATCATCAGCAGCATCATCATCATAATCATCATCATCATCAGCATCATCATCATCATCATCATCATCAGCATCATCATCATCATCATCATCATCATCATCATCAGCATCATCATCAGCATCATCATCATCCTCATCAGCATCAGCATCAGCATCAGCATCATCATCATCATCATCAGCATCATCATCATCAGCATCATCATCCCCCATCCTCATCCTCCTATTCCTCCTCATTATCCGCCTCATTCCCCCTCCTCCTCATCCTCCTCCTCATTATCCGCCTCTTCCTCCTCCTCCTTCTTCTCCTCATCATCCTACCCCGCTTTTTCCCCCTCCTCATCGTCCTCTTCTTCCGCCTCCTCCTCATGTTCCCCCGCCCCCCAATCCTCCACCTCCTGTTCCTCCTCCGCCTCCTCCTCCTCCCCATCATCCTCTTCATCATCATGATCATGATCAGCAGCATCATCATCATCAGCATCATCATCATCATCATCATCATCAACAATATCATCAGCAGCATCATCATCATCATCAGCAGCAGCAGCATCATTATCAGCGTCAGCATCACCATCATCATCATCATCATCATCATCATCAACAACAACATCAGTAGCATCATCATCATAATCATCATATGCATCATCATCAGCATCATTATCAACATCGGTATCATCATCATCATCCTCATCATGGTCGTCATCAGAATAAGCATCATCATCAGCAGCAGCCTCAGCATCAGCATGGTCAGCATCATCAGCATCACCAGCATCAGCATCGGCGTCCTCCTCCTCCTCCTCCTCCTCCTCCTCCTCCTCCTCCCCCGCATCCTCCTCCTCTTCCGCCCCCTCCTCCTCATCATCATACCCCCTCCCTTCTCCCCACACATAACTTTTTCCCCGTCGCCCCCCGAGGCCAGTGGTAGGGCGGGCTGGGCTGGGCGCGTCGCCTGAGACTTCTTCACCATGTATGACCCTGGAGCTTAAAATGTGACAACGGTTTCACAGGTGGAGTGCGTGTCGTTTTCAAAATGTGGCTCTCGCCTTAGCGCCGCGCACATCCGTCTTAAAATGTGTAAGAGCGTCACAGATTGAGGGCCACCCGTTTTCACACTGGTGTTCTCGTCTTAGCGCCGCGCACATTCGTTCTGAAAAAATGCAAGAACGTCACAGATTGAGGGCCACCCGTGTTCACTATGTGGCTCTCGCCGTTAGCGCCGCGCACATTCGTTTGCAAAGTTGCAAGGAGTTTCACGGATTGAGGGCAGGTCGCTTTCGAAATGTGGCTCTCGCCTGAGCGCCGCACACATTCGTTTTAACAATGCGCAAGGGCTTCACGGATTGCAGACGCGTCTTGTTCAAAATGTGGCTCTCGCCCTAGCGCTGCGCACATTCGTGTTGAAATCTGCAAGGGCTTCACGGATTGAGGGCGGGTCGTTTTCAAAATGTGGCGCTCCCCCTAACGTCGCGCACCTTCGGCTCAAAAATGTGCAAGAGTTTCACGGGTTCCCAGGATTAACGTACCCGAAAGTTTGTTGAAAGGATTCGGGATTGTGTTGAAGTCCCCAGGATGGCGTTCTGGTACGATTCAAGATAGTTTAAACGCAACAGACAGGTTGATCCGTGGCGTTGGATTCCCAAGAACAATGGTTTGGCATGCTCCTGGGTCTTCAAACGATTGTCGTCCATCGAGGCAGTTCCCTAAGTGGAAATGAACCCGTGTAGAGGGCTTGTGAAGGAGGAGCTTGGAGGGAGGGTTTATTCCAACTGCGTTGGTGACTCTTAGGTTTACACTGGTCCTCCTCCTCCACACCCTCATCCTCCTCGTCGCACGTCTTCTACTCCTCATCCTACTCCTCATCCTCGCCTCCTCCTCCTCCTCCTCCTCCTCTTCCTCCGCCTCCTCCTCCTCCTCCTCCTCCTCCCCCTCATCCTCCTCCTCATCCTCCTCCTCCTCATCCACATCATCAGCATCATCATCATCATCACCACCACCACCACCATCATC